CCCGCTTTAAATATGAAAACAAATAATAGGCATGCGCAGTGGGTGCTATTGTACGTACCAAAAACAATCAACGCACGTGTTTATTACGTGATGTCATTGTTTTCACAAGACGTTGCAAGAAAAACTTTTAGTTCATGATAAATCATAACATCCATGCTCGCATCCATGCCGTATCTCGCTTTAAATGTTATTGAATGAATAACGAAATATGTTCTTTGGTGTACATCATCAAAGTCAGTCTCAAATTCAGTTCTCCGCTGTTTGTTTCACAGCACTCATTTCCACCGTGACGTCAGTGGTTGTCACGGTGAACCAGGAACAATCGGCTCAACCAGGTGACGGATCTGTTGCACTTTACTGCGCACTCTCAGATATCCCAGATGGTGCCATCACGACGACAGTGGAGTGGCAAAAATCAAGAGAAGACGGTTCAAAAATGTTCCTAGCAAGATCTGTCAATCCTGGCCAAATGACCTCAATTGACCCACGGTAATCATGACAATTTTATTTATTTATTTATTTATTTATTTATTTATTTATTTATTTATTCATTTATTTATGATTGAATGTTACGGCTTTATTATGTTTCACAAAACGTCAGCTATAATCTGGATTAAAAAAAACACGAGAACAGTGTGTTTTAAAACCACTTTAACGTTCATACATGGTTAATCAACCGTGCCTATATACGACTCCCTCATACGATATGTTGTATGTACAACTTTGTTTTTTTAGGTACGCAATTGTGAACGAGGGCTCTTTGAGCATTTCCGATGTAAACGTTAACGACACTGGAACATACTGGTGCCAAGGGCGCGTCACAGTGACCATGTCAGACGCACAAGAAGATACCAAAAGCACCATGCTCCACGTTGCTGGGCCAACCACGCCAGAAGCCCCGCCAAAGACTACTAAAGCGGCAGAAAAGACAGACTCGCCCGACACTGATGGCGCCACCACGCGACAATACCGGATTTCACTGATTTCCTTCTGCTTTGTATTGATATCATTTTTGTATTGAGGAATATGTTAGCACATTTAATATAGTATGCCATCCGAAAAACAGAATAATAGTGATCTTGTGATTTTGTTATCTTAAACAATTAAAGTGCCCCATTTGTCTTACTCGATATGGGTCCCATGCAACGTGATCAATTTCTCTTCTTGAAATAAATAGCTGTATTATTTCTATTCTCGGGGGCGGACATCCGGGCATTTTCACCGCCTGGCAACCATCACGGTGAAAACAAAGGCCGAAATTTGATAGAAAACGGTACTTTGGGATGGTTATTGAGACTCCCCTGAACAACGATTATTCCGTTGGAAGTTAGAACATTGTATATATACAGAGCCGGCGGCACGAAAATTTTAATTGGGGTGGGGTTTGCGAGATCTGCTCACCATCCTTTGCGCCCGGAGGCGCAAGCGGTCGCGCATAATTTTAGGGGGGTGCCGCCGCAACTGATGGGCGACATTTTGTGTTGACACGTCCATTCAAGAGAAATGTTTTCAATAAGTTTAATTGCCGTATGTACACTAGCATAGAACTACAATTGATTAAATGGAATTATAACTCGGATATGCTGATGCATGGAAGGTACTAACGTTAGTACCTTCCATGGTTGATGTATCACTCCGCACCGAGGCACACAGACAGTACTCTGGGGTTGTTAAATTGTAGTACAATTCAAATTACTTTATTTCAGGTAGTTCAGATTACAGTGCGTTATTTGTACTTCACAACTGCGTTTACAGCGTAAATTTTATATTGTTTGTCTTCGGCAGATTCAAGTCATTATTCGTATTCGATGGCAATATTCTCAAAGCAGGGACGAAATGTGCCGTTGGCGGCGTGCTTGCGCAATTTCTTCGATGTTTTACCCAAAAAAAAGTGTTATCGTCCGATAACGGACAACGGACAACGGAATCA